ACAATATTATTCATTCAGTCATCATATTGTAGGGCAGGAAAACCCTAAAGATTCATGTTAGAATCCTCATATTTAATTACTTTCTGAAGTTTTTAAGACACATGCAAGATATGACAATTAAGTTCATGAACTCATCCTGGAAAATGTGCTGCATACCTTATTGCTGAATATCACTACAGTCACCTTCAAGGTACTCCCCTTGAGAAGCTATGCACTGACACCAGCACCTAGTCCACACGTCAAATCAGTTTTGGAACTCTTTTTCCGGAATGGCCATCAGAGCCATCGTCATATTACCCTTGATATCTTGAGTGTCATCAAACGTCTTCCTTTAAATATTTCCTTTATGTTTGGGTAAAGAAAAAAGTCATTGGGGTCAGATCAGGTGAGTAGGGAGGGTGTTCCAATGCAATTATTTGCTGGTGCATTGCCGTGATGCAAGAACTCCTTTGCGACCATTTTGCACATATCTTTCTCATCCCGATTTTTAGTTAATATTTTCCTGTTTTTCCATGGATGCTTATTTGGTCTGCTATGTTTCTCACAGTCAGTCGATTATTTTGACACACAATTTGATGAATTTTTGCAATGTTTTCATCAGTTCTGCTCGTTACTGGCCGTCCTGACCTTTCTTTATCAGTGACACTTTCTCTCCCCTCAGAAAAATGTTCAAACCATTTGTACACTGCTGTTTTCTTCATGGCATTATCCCCATAGACTTGGAATAACATGTTCCTGATTTCACTTCCACTTGCCAACTTTAACAGGAAATTTAATGTTTGTTCATTACCCTAATTCAAGCTTCAATATTCTTGCAATGGTGCACAAAAACATGCCATGACAGTAATGAACACCACTCAGCAAGACCCTGCCACATGTTGACACAAACAGAGCTGTGAGATCCTGATATGCCAAGGTTATGAAACCTTACCAAGTTGTCTGTACAGTGCTGCCAATGTAAGCACACAGTGGCAAGTTCACAAACTTCATTGCTAGACCTCGCATTTCAACAGATTAGAAGGCTATTTGGAAGACTATCTGTATCATAGAGGCTCATCTCACAAATTCCTTCCAAAAACAGAAGCTAGTTTGAGCACTTTTGTAGGAGGACTTCTAGGTTCTCTGAGTGTGTTGATGAGTTAAGGGAGATGGGGAATGGGATAATAAAACAAGTGGGTTAGACTGGCCTATTGAGAGAGCTCTTAATGCATATGCCAGATGAGAGATATAGCAAAGAGTGACTCCACACAAATCTTTAACTGTTAAGTAATAATCTAGGACACTTAAAATTTTTCACAATTATTTATAAAAGTTCCATAAAAACTGGGCTCTGTGGCTCAAACCTTTCATCCGCACTTTGGGAAGCAGAGGCGAGAGGGATTTGAGATCAGCCTGGGCAATTTGACAAGACCTCGTCTCCACAGTTAAAAAAAACAAAAACCAGTTGTGGGAGCACACACCTGTGGTTTCAGCTGCTTGAAAGGTTGAAGCAGAAGGATCACTTGCCCAGCAGGTTGAGGCTGTGGTGGCCATGAGGATGCCATTGCACTCCAGCCTGAGTGACAAACTGAGACTCTTTCTCAAAAAAAAAAAAAAAAAAAAAATAAGCTCCATAAAATGCAGTTGCAGCTTTTAAAGATACTAATGGAGTTTATTTTGAAGTTTTGGCTGTAATCAAGTGAAATGAGAATGATTTTAGATGTCAAAGGACAGCCAAACAGATACTTTTTTTTTGGTAGCATTACAAAAAGTAATTTCAAAATCTGGAATAATATAAATGGGAAGTCTAGAGTTTGATATATTGATAAATATACAAATAAGGGTAAAATTACTTGACATAAAATACAGTTTCATTGCTCAACCACAGTTTTGGGGATTGATGTGGAAATCCGACATATTCTTGACAATTCCTGTATAGAATTCCTTCCATTTCATGTTATAGGTTCTTCCAAGTTATGTCCTCCAAGTGACATAAAACTGTTTATTCTTTTGACATGTTTTTTGACTACTTCTTCAAAACCGTTGCAATACCACCCTTCTGAAACATTTAATATGAATAGCCTCTTCAAAGTCAGCTGTGCTTTGACTTCAAATCAAGGCTGTGCTTTTTGGCAGCAAGGTAAAAAGGAAATCAGAGTAAATTATACTGTTCTAATGTTATTTTTTAAAAAAGATACAAATTGGCTCTTCTGGAGAAACAAAAGTTTTCCTAGTAACAAATTCTAAAAACATGTCTACTTAGTGAAATTTTAATTAACAAAATTTACTTTTTAACTGAAAATTTAAAGGATTATATAAACATTTCAACTTTTTAAAAGTTGTAAATCCTAAGAAAAGAAATTAACTTAATGGCTTTTCATTTGTCACCTCCAAAAATAAAGCAATTTGAATATTTCTTTTATTATGATGTATTAGAACTTCATTAATAGGAAAGCCTTGCAAATAAGTTATCATATTTGGAGCAAGATCACACTGTGCTAAGTAATGAGATATGGGAATACATTGAACAGCTTGACTTCTGCTGACTTTTACTTAAGAGTGTGAAGTGTTTTAAATTAGACTATGTTAGTATTGATGAAATGTGCACAAGGGGGAAAAATAATTTAAAGGCTTTGTTCCATTTTGAAAGCTAGATAAATTATATAATTAAAAAATAAAGCACTGTGACCTGGGAATAAGGAAACAACAATTCTCAAATACTGTTGGAAAGAGTGGAAATCGGGCAGCCTTTTGGGAAGGCAATTTGGTCATGTCTAACAAATTTACAATGCATTTACCATTGAGCTGGCAATTACACATACTGATAAGAACCTGCCCCTAGATAAACTTGTAAAAGTGCACCAATATAGATGTATAAGACTATTTAGTGCAGTATTTTTGAAATAACAAAAGAAAAATGTTGCAAAAGTAATCTAAATACACAACAATAGGGAATGGCTAAATCCCATAAATATTCATTTAATGGAACACCCTAAGCCATTAAGAGTATGTATGGAGTAATTTTTGAATATGCCAGTATGGGACTGGGTACAGTGGTTCATGTCTGTAATCCCAGCACTTTTGGAGGCCAAGGAGGGAGGATTGCTTGAGGTCAGGAGTTCAAGACTAGTCTGGGCAATATAACAAGACCCTGCCTCTACAAAAAATAAATAAATAAAAATGCTTTAAAAAGTTGATATAGAAAGGACATTAGGATCGATTATTAGGTAAATAAGCCAGACATATCATAGACTATTATGATAACTCTTAGATAGTTAACAAACCAAAAAAACCCAGAAATACCATATATCAGTTTTTATAGTGAAGATGCATATGCAACTGACCTCTTGTGCTTATCTAAATTTCAAAAGTTAATATGTAAGCATTGTTTCTTATTGGGGAGAGTTTCTAAATAGGTGTGGATAGGAGGATGCTTTTTTGTTTCACATGACAACTTTCTGTAAAACTTGATTTTTATAATCATGCATATATAATATATTTATTTTTCAGACATATCAATGAGTACTCTTTAGTAAGCCATTTGTTATTCTTTATTTTCATCTCTTTGAAAACCCAATAATTAATATTTTACAAGATAATAAAGCACTGTTATTGAATTTTAGTATGAAGGTCATGAAGCATGACAAACTTTAGTATGTGAACATTGTATTGTCAAGAAATCGACTCAAATTTTCCATGAAATATTCTTATCACAATAAAAAGTCAGCTTCCATAGCCACCACCCCCTTATTGAGCATGCATCCTTTTGCTGTGTGGATAGGTCAGCTTGGTGTTGGACAGTTAGAGACATTGTATCTACCTCCTCTTCTGAGCAGGGAAATTTGGAATCAATGGTTAGAATTGTTTTCCTACTCTGTGGTAAGAGAACATAGGACAAAACAAAGTCCTGTCTAAGCATTCACTCCTGCTTAATGGATCCAATTTTGACTCTGAATGGGAAGAAAATTGTTGCATATTTCTTGCAGACTCTATAGTTTAACACAGCGTACTCTATTTTCGAAACGATTCCAAAAAGAAACAATAGAGTGGGCCCTTTCCCTGACAGTGAACCTGGTACCCAGTGTGTGGCTGCATTCCTTCCCTTCCTCCTTCCCTGGCCACATTCCCTCCCTTCCTCCTTCCTTACCTCCCTCCTTCCTTCCCTCCCCTAGCAATGTCCAGCGTCTGCTGATCCCAGCCTTGTGTTCATGTTCAGGGCCTGCTTATATGCAAAGCTTACTTCCTTGAGAGATGATCAAGCAAAATCAGAGAACGGATCATGCAGAGAGATCTTGATTCCAGTTCTGAGTCTGCCACTTAAGCCACACTGACCCTGAGCAAATTAGCTGACTTCTGTTAAAGAAAAATGCTAATAGTGTCGTCCCTTGATAGCCACAGGGAATTGGTTCCAGAACACTCTTCTTCTATCCTTGTGATTATTGGATACTCAAGTCTCTGATATAAAATGGCATAGCATTTGTATATAAACTACACATATTCTCCTATATACTTTAAATCATCTCCAGGTTACTTATAATACCTAATACTATGTAAATACTGTGCAAATGGTATTATACTGTACTTTTTGTTTGTATTATTTTTATTGTTGAATTGCTATTTTTAAGTTTATTTTAATTTTAGAGTTGTGGGGTCCATGTGAGTTTTGCCAAATAAGTGAATTGCATGCAGGTGAGGTTTGGGCTTCTAGCAAACCCTCTCTTCCCCTGGAAGTAGACATAGTACTCAATGGATGGTTGTGCTATTTATTTTTTCAAATATTTTCAATCCACTGTTGGTTGAATCTGCAGATGTGGAACCTGTGGATAGAGAGGACCAACTGTATGTACACACTGGGACTGTTGAGGAGATTAAATGAAATAATGGAGACAAGTGAAGTACAGTGCTTGATAAATACAATAAATAGTTACTGCTCCTAAAAAAAAAAAAAAAAAAGAAGAAGAAGAAGAAGAAGAAAAGGAAATAATAAAATGATGGTCTTCTGATCTTTTGAATCTTTTCAGAATTGCAACTTCCAGTGAGTCCCTCTGTGTGTCTGGATCAGGAAGTGCAATTAAAGCCGAGTACTTCGAGTCACCTCTTAAAAGCAGTCAAGTCACATATGTGGAAACCAGGAGACTGGAGACATGAACAGCTGTAAGCTAATCATTTTGAACTGTAATCAGCATGCACTTTGGGAGTCAGCTAGCAAGAGAAAACAGATCTGGGGGTGGGCGCGGGGTTCTGTTATGTACATTTTCAGCAACTCTTTCTTAATAAAGAATGGCACCATTGACTTTCTTCTGGATTCATTCAAACTTCTGCTGCCCTGTAATAAACATTTGAGTAAATTGAACTCTTATATAGACGTTACATTGATGGATATTGAATTTAAAATCTTGACAATGTGAAACTATAAAATTTTAACTTTCATTTTATACTCAAATGATATTGTATTGGAAAATGGCTGACAGCATTTTTATAGCTACTAAGTTTTTTTGAGTTTTGCTTTTTAATGGTTCATAGATTCTAAGAAAGCATCAGCTGGGTATCAGGCTGTCCAAGTTACCTCCAGAGAAAGGATTTTAGGATGTAGATTTTAAAAATAGCAAAAAATTAAGAAATTTTAATTATGTTATCCAAGTTACAGAAAAGTGTGGGTCATCTAATTTATAATTATTAAGTAGCATTTAAACAGCTAATAGTATTTATTGAAAAATCATGCACATTTTGTGCTTACCTAAACTTCAAAAGGTTAACTAGCATAATCCTTCATTAAGCAAATGTAGATACATGGTGCAGAGAAGCAAATGGTTATACATTTTGGCATCATTTATGATGAAAGCATATTTTTTTCTCACAAATCATTAAACTTGTGTTGTTTTTCCATTGTAGACCACAGTGCTTTCTTAATATTTCAACTCTTAAATTGGCCCTTCAGCATCTGGGATGGGGGTAGTAGGTAGGATGGAATTAATGGGGAAGGGATTTTGACATATATGCAGTGATCTGTCCATTATTGAAAAACATAACATATTTTTTTTGGAAAGGATAAGATAGAGCAAATGTAGGCAGAAGTGGAAGAGAAAGATTTTAGAGTGTTTCACTGCTCCCAAACTGTAAGTTATATCATTTTTTGCTGTGGTTGGGACCATGAATTTGAGATCATGAGTAGTGTGACTCATTTGATTTTTTAGAAAATCTTTCAACTTTTCCTACCTTTTATTCTTTTCAAAAATCTTTGATTAAATCTGTCAGAGTAGAGAATTCTTACCAGTTTGATCTCTTCTCCCTGTACTTGTCCACCCCCTGGTGGTGATGCTAATAAGCAGTTGAAAATGCTTAAGGAAACCCACACACTGAAGGCTGGAGCTCCACAAAGGACAGAAGGGTATTACAAAGATTTTAGGTAATTTACAAATGACATGTTCAACCCTATATCATGGAGCATTAACTATGTTGTTTTATTTTTTCAGGAATCAAACAACACTCCTTGCTCCCCATGAAACAATCTTTAGAGCCGAAGATCTATCTGTGATTCTTAAAGCGTATGTGTTGGTGACATCCTTAACTCCTTTGCGTGCATTCATTCACTCAACTGGCACGGTTTGGAATCCACCAAAGAAAAAACGCTTCACTGTCAAGGTAAAGGCTTACCTTAAACTGTTTTTTCACACTACGTATGCTGAAGATAAGTAAAGTGACTTGGGCTGCCGTTCTCCAACCTTTACAGTTATCAAATCCCACTGAAGAAAGATTGCATCTCTTTACTGCTGCAGGCAGAGATTTTCATTTAATAGGTGCAGGTTCAAAAGTGAACTGAAAGCAGCTTCATTCACTAGGGATCACAAAGGCTACATTTCCCCCCCCCCCCATCTCTCATTGTAGTTCAATTCTTTGACCTGCTTATTACAGAGTTAGTTCTTGGCTACACTGTTTTTTCTTGACTTTCCACTCATTCAAGAAAAATATAGTCAATGCAACAAATGAAAATACAATTTTGTCCTCATGCTTTTTCTTCATCCTTAGGAAGCCTAATGCCTATATGTTCATTACACTAGTCAATATGGAGTATTTGCTGAGTGAAAATTAAAGCTCTCAAGTGTGCTTAATATAGCAAACCATGACATAAAAGATAATGAGGAAGTTTTCAGGGAAGAAATTAATAACCCCCAACAGTGCATTTATAAAGGGTAACTCAGGTTAACTCAGTTGAAAATGAAATCTAGTGACAATATATTTGATGCATTTAAAATAATTTTTCATTTTACAGAAATAATTGTTCAGAGTATAGATAGAAGAAAATGGAAAGAAATAGAAAGCATGCACAAGAGCCTCTCATCGTTTCAAGAGATTAAAAAGTGACAGAACTTTTTTTTTCTAGAATTTATCTCACATTTTGAATTCAGAAAAATCTTACAATGGTGAAAAATTTTTTAAATAGCCCATTTATATATTATCAATTAAAAACACATCAGCATGATGAGATGATGGTATTATTTAGCTTAGTATAACAGACAGCTAACATTTGAAGGAAATGGCATTGATAACTTAGGTTCTAAGGTGCTTCTAGATCTTAACAACAGTCATCGTATCTCAATGATCTCAACATTTATGGTTTTCGATAATCATGGAAAAGTGGAATCTAATGTTTGTCTTTCATGTTATCTCCCACAAGTCTTTTCAATGGCTGCTTATATTTCCGTAAGTACTGTTAATTATTCCCGTTCTTTCTCTTTCTGTGAGGTTAAATTATATGTAATTTGGTCAATTTTGACCTACAAAAAATTGACATATCATATGGTTCCAACCTAATAGTTGGAATTCAGGAGCAGGGAGATGAAAACCATATTTCTCAAATTATGTCACATGATTTATACATTCAGCAAATATATTTTGAGCATAGACCAAAATCTCTGCTCCTGCGGAACTTACAATATCAGTATGACAAGACTCTTCTGTTTGTTTTGTCTATTTATTTAATCTATTTTATCTCTACTCTCTATTCAATTCCCTTCACCTTCAAAAGATTGCCATTGTGATGGTTAAATGTCTATACTCTTGTTTATGTTCTTGTAAAATATGCATTTTTTGTGTGTATGTATTTTAATTTATGTAAATTTTATTAAAGATTATTTTCCTTTTCTAACATTTTTACATGCAGCACTACATATTTTTATTTTATTTTATGAATGGGGTTTTGCTGTGTTTCCTAGACTCCTTGCCTTAAGCAATCCTCCTGCTTCGACCTCCCAAAGTACTGCGATTGCAGGCATGAGCCACTGCTCTCGGCATTACGTATTTTTACAAAGAAACCATCCACATTGCGATTTGTACATCTTCTGTTATTTTTCACTGATTTACAGTAGTCATGGTGTGTATTATTAATGCATTACGGTTTGGCTATTTACTCCTCCAGTAATAAACATGCTTGATTGCTCCAGCTCTTGGCGAAACCAAACAATATTTCAAAAGCAAAAATCTTTGTATATGACCCTTTATGAACCTGCATAAGATCTTTGGAAGAATTCAGAGCCAGTGGAGAAATTTCTGGGTCATACACAGGAGTTCATTTGACAGAATTAAATAATTAGAGCTTGCCTTTCAGAATGCCTGCGTCAGTGTCTGTCCCGTTATTAGGGTTTCCATAGCCCCAAAACTTGGCCAACATTTGACCTTTTCCAACTTCCTAATTTTGTCAATCTAACAGGTGAAAAGTGATATCTCACTCTCTGAAATAGTTCAATGTGTCATCTGTCTGTCAACTTTATCCACAGTGTCCTTTGTTAATCAAAAATCTTTAGTTGGTTACTCAAATTCATTTTTCTTTATGCTCTGTGCTTTGGGGATTACGTTTCAGAAATTCTTACATCTAGATCACAAAGATATGCTTCTCCATTGATTTTTCACTTTTCCTGGACATAATGTATTCAAGAAGAAGTCACCTTTGATTCATTAAAAAAAAAAAAGTCAACAGTTCTCCCAACAACATGGGCCAAAAACTTATCATATCCCATGAATCGAACATCATCTTTATTGTATAAGTTTCTATAGGTACACGGAGCTGCTTCTGAGTTCTCTGTTCTGTGCCAGCTGGCCTACTTGTTGGTATTATCCTGGAAATATAAGTATATTTTAATATCTGTTAGGGGAAACCCCACTTCTTTACTTTTTATTTTGAAGATTAAGTTAACTATGTTGTAGACATTGATTTCATTGTAAACACTTTAGAAGGTTGTATTAGTCAGGCTTCTCCAGAGAAACAGAAACAATAGTATAAATATATATAGACATATAAGAGGGGATTTACTATGGGAATTGGCTTGCTCAATTATGGAGGCTGAAAAGTCCCATGATATGCGGTCTGTAAGCTAGAGAACCAGGAAAGGTGGTGGTATAATTCAGTCCAAAGGCCAGAGAACCATGGGAGCCAATGGATGGTGTAACTCCTAGTCCAAGGCCAAAGGCCTCCACATCATCAGCTCTACTTTTCAAGGACAACAGAAGGAGATGTACCACCTCAAGAAGAAGGCATGAGCAAATTGTTAGGATTTATTTCTGTCATCTTATTTTTGATTTAGTATGCTTACTTTTTCTTTCTCTTAGATTATCTTTTTATGCTTTTCACTGTAAAGCTTAACTGTTTTTCTGTAAGTACAAAGATACGCATTCTGTCTACATATGCATGTAATATACAGTGGTCACCATTAATTTTAATTTAAACATGCACTCATGTTTGTTTTCTCCCATTGATTTCCTAAACTTTTCAATATCTCTATCTGCTTCCCAACTTTGCCCTCTCAACCCATTGGTCTCTGAACCACGTACCCAAATTCCTTTATCATAATGTAGATTTATAGTTAATGTTAAAATAATCACTTGTTATTTTTCTGGTCTTTTTTTTTCTTTAAAAACAAAACAAAACTTTATCAAGGAATTTATCACCTTAACTTTCCCAAATTGTTTATCACATCCTCCTGGATTTGTTTCTTATCTGTGTGTTTTCAATTTGGACTCGAAGTCTTTAATCTTTAATTCTGGGAAATTTGTTTTTATTAGTTCTTGAAATATTTTTGCTCGCTGTTTTTTTTTTTTTTCTGTTGTTCAGATTTTGATTCTTCCATTTTTATTCTCTATATTATTTAGCTTTTGATATACAGTTTCTATTTCTTTATTTGCTTCCTGGAAATGTTTCTGTTATCTGAGATAGTTCTTGGAGCTTATCTTCCAAATTACGAAATCCTTCTTTTACTGTATCTTTCCTGCTATCTAGCTCATCTGTTGTTTTATGTATTTCAGTTTATGTGATGTATGTATAACTAAAATGCTGATGCCCTTTAACTTAAAAACTATGCACTTGTATTATATTTACATCTATTAATATTTTACTGTATTTCCTTTTTGTTCTTTTTTATATGTTGTTCTATTACTGTCTTGCGTTATTTCCTTGTGCCTACTAATTATACTTTAAATTCTTTATCCTTCAGATTAGTAGCATGATATATATTGTTCAGTTTGTTGTCTTTCTTTTGAGGAAGGTTTACTTTTCTTTCTTTTTTTGAGGAAGGTTTACTTTTCATGTGTCCCCTATTTTGTCTTTAGAACTCAAGCTCTCCTGTAGATATTATTTATTACAGCCAGTGTAGAATCTGGGGAAGGCCAGTCCTTTACAATGAATCCAAGGAGGGGGAGAGAATGAGCTTCAGACTTTATGGAACCACTTCAGTCCACTTTCCTTTGCTGCCACATAACTTGTAACTTCCATGGTCAGAATTTCACCCCCTAAACTCTTGAGAAGAAACACCCTGGGAGGAAGCACATCCATCCTTTGTAATCCATCAAGGCTTGGAATTTAGGAGTGAATAGTGTGGCAGAGTGAATGCCACATGTGACTGGTCACACACATGCCTCCTCATCTGCTCCTCACCTGAGCAGGGCATCACCCCCAAGGACTCAGCAACCTGAATCCTGAGCCTGGGCTTAGCGTTCGTCACCAGGAAGAATCAGGCAATGACTGACCCAGAAGTACAGAGGGGAGAAGTAGGCACAAACTAAGGTACTTTCCTTCATCCATTCTCTCAAGTAGCCTTTAACAATTCCAATTTAGTAATCCCTGACCATAACCAGAGCAGTTCAAAGCAGCTTTCAGAATCCCTTTCACGCAGGTTTTTATTATTTGTTCTTTGTTATCAAATCATGTTTCGACCTCATTTCACCTGTGCTAGTTCACTAGCTTAACAGGAAACTGAAGCTCTTTAGGTATTCTGAGTCATTTTTTGGAAGTATTTTTCCTTTCTTGTTTATTTAAGTGCCACTTCCCTGCCCTGAAAGAAATGACTTGCTTTCTGTGATAGCTTTTATTTATGTATTTCCTGAAGATAAATCATGAGAAAAGAAAGCTCTTTGGGATCTGGTTTTCCTTAGGTTTTCATGCTTCATTCACTATTTTGCTTCTTATTGATATTTTTGTCATGTCTGTAGGACAGACACAAGCTGCAGTTGTAACATAGAAAAGCAGGCTGTTCTTGTCATTTTCATGTCGCCTTGGGATTTATCTCATCAAGATTTTGCCTGATTATTCCGGACAATACTGTTATCTACTCTCAGGGGGAGGCAGTGCAGCTTCCTCGGTTAATGTGCAAGAA